GAGCATTTACAGAGGAAATGAATTTCAACTCATTTTTGGTTAAATTGAAACTTCTTTTTTCAAAATTAGGTAATGGATATAAATCATTAAGAAGATTAAGATCGAATGGATGGAAATTAAACCTTTTTGGATTATGAAGTTTTTAAGATTTATGGCCCTTTTGTATCCGCTAGAGATATTAAGATTGATTGAAGATTACGTTTATAGTTTTTTGTTTAATCCATATAGAAATGAGAACAGCATTAAGATGCTTTCTTAGGCTGCTGTTAAAACTAGCATAAACGCATCCATTTCTTGCGCAGATACGTAAATTCAATTTCTCCTTGCCTCAAACATTTGAATATTCAATCCTCATTATCTCAAAAATTAAACAACTTTAAATCCTCTTGTCACATCCAACACATAAATCTCCAAACTCTCAAATCCGTTTCTATAACCTCAAATAAAAAGGAATCAAATCATTCATCTGCCATTCACATTTTCTTCAATTTTAATTTATAATAAAATCAGCAGCACCAATTAATGATCTTCAGATGAATCATTTTTCAGACTGTGCGCTTCCTGTTCCAGATACGATGACAAAAATTGACACCCGAGAGATGTTTTAAGACATTATTGAGATTTTTATACAACCTAGCCGAGCAGATGAAAGATGAGCGAAAATTTTGTTTATTCAGTACACAACTTTTGCCGCTTTGTTTAATTGCTTACATAAATGTGGATTAATGAAAGGCCATTACATTGACTTTTTCACACTTGTCGACGGGGAGTTAATGGTAAAAATTGTAAATTTCATTTTGAATGGCGCCATTGGAAATGTTTAAATGATTGAAAATCGTGATTATTAATGATTTTTAAAAGAGTAAGGGAAATTCCCTTTTTAAAAGTAAATAAATAAATGAAGGGAAATTTTAATTGATTGTTTCACAAATGAAGTTCATTAATAGATTCAATTTTTTGAACTTCTTTCATACTATATCAGGCTGGGATGCGATGTTATTATGCTTGAGGATATAGAATTAATTTCAAAATTTGTTCCTGATGGTGATCTACAGTTGCAGAGTTGCGATACAGGTCGCCTGTCACAGGAACAGGTGACAGATGTGTCACAGGCACAGATCTGTCATAGATTTGTTATATATGTGGACATATTTGACAGATCTGTGCCTGTGACAGGCAAAACAAATAAATGCTTGTCACAGGCACTGCTTGTTAACAGGTAAATGACAGGGATTGCCTGTGACAGATCGCAACTCTGCACAATTGTAGGTAAATCAAGAAATAATTTTTAGATTCTTGGTCTCAGAAAATTGTCTTTTTTAAGTGATGAACAATATTGATAATTGGATCAGCCAATAAATTTAAATTTCAAAAAAACCTGTTGAATCTTGAATTTTTTGTGTGTTTTGTAGCTTGTATGTGATGTTTATCCTGCGGGATCTTTGTTTTTGGTTTGAGACATGTCTTAAATACTACTCGATCTTAGATTTTGGTTGTGAATATGACCTAATGTGACTTGGACTTAAACATGACAATTTCTGATTTATGCGATGAAAATTAAGTCAAATCAAGTCAAGATTTTCGTTCAAATCTCATTATCATCAAAACTGTGCAATTTTAGTTCATGTTCGACACATAAACTTGAACACTAATTTGCAGTTTCAATAACCTTTCGATAAAATGCCTCAAAACAAAACAAAACAAAAAAAACACGATAATTTCCAATAACATTAAGTTAAGTATCGACAATCAGCTACACAAGAGTTTTCAAAACTTTTCCTATTGAAAACATGAATTAATTAAATCCAAAAACCTAAGAAAAAAATAAAATCCTCAATTACCTATCAATTATCACTTCAGTGACTATCAGTCAAAAGCAATAAATATAAATTTTATTCATGCAGCCATAAAAGAAATAAACTTTTAATGAAGAAAAGAAATGAATTATACAATCCGACAGTGAACATGCGAAGGGCCATTTCCTCAATCTCAATTGATTCGTGCGTATCATAATTACAAGTTTCGGACCGAAAAAAAGAGTCATTTCTCCAATCTCCACCTCAGCTACCTTGAAGAAGGTCGTATTAAATTATTAAGAGAGCACTTATTGATTATTATTAATTTTCAATTGTTGGGCGCCGAGCGAGAGAGACTTAAGTGGAAGTCCATAGCACACAACACGAGAAGAAAAAAATTAAGTGAAACTGATTTTTTTTGTGAAAGCGTCTCTCTCGCAACCGAGCAAGGTAAACAGGCGATATCTATGTATATAGATTTATTTTTTTTTTGGTATGATGTCATTTTGTTTAATGAGATTTATCCGTTATTTTGCAAGCATTCGAATTCACGATCTCCGGCTGTGATCAGATTTACGATGCCAAAATGAAGAGCGATCATGTAATTTGAGTCTGTTGTGATAATTGCATTTGATCTTTTTTTCTTGCATTTGGTTAAATTTGCACTGCAGCTAATTTTAGTCTTTTAAAGTCTTGCGCCGATCAACGATTGGGTTTTTGAAAGTTTTTTTTTCTTTCTTCAAATTATCGATTTTTTCATCAAAGCCATTTTGTGGGAAGAAATGAGAGACGAAGAAAAAGAAGAGAAATAAAATAATTTTTAATCGCTTCATTAAATAGTGAGAAATCGATCAATTTGCAGGGGAATGTAACATGTTGTGGTTGGTGGAATTGAGGAGCCTGTATACAAACTAGAAAAATACAAGCTAGAAGTACAAGCTTCTTTGAATCACTCCCTTGGTTGTGACTTCAAGGTTTTTAGAAACAGGTCTTGTTTCTTGATTCTTTATATCAAGTTACAATCCCTTGCCAACATACATTGTTGACCATGCTTTAGGGAGTACTGAACAGTCTTTTAAATGCTGAATTTAATTAGTCGAAGGAATTTTAAAGTTTAAAAAATTCAATCAAAATCAAATTAGGAACGTTCATTAAAATCGTCACTAGCTCGACGTCGACTCAAGATTTTAATCAATTTTGTATGGCGAAGTCGACTCTTTACAAAATTTCATCGACTTCAAGCTTTGGTTGTTCCTACGTGTAGTAATTTACTAGAGATCATGTCAAGTGTGTTACTCGGGAATGGTGAGACTTGAACCTGGGAGAGTAACAATTCATTATCAATTTTTATGACCCAAAACTAGCCAATTGATCTATCAAAACAATTAATCTTATCTCATAGTTTTCACATTTAAGTCACCACCCCTTGGAAAATCGCAACAAATTTTTCATTCACACTTTTATTGGCAAGAAAATTGTCTTGCCGCGGAAATTTCCTTCTATCCACAATATAAAACAATAATGATGTTTAACAAAAAAATAAAGTCGGTGTAATTAAAATGAATGAATTACGACAACAATAAATAATTTCATTATTTCAATTTCCATCCTTCATTTTTTCCACCTCATGCCTCATAACGAATATCCTCGTCGAAAGAAAAAGTGAAAATTTTTTAATACCTTTTTTTATACTGCACAGCATAAAATGCATTGAACTCGGGTTTTGAATGAAAAAGAAAAAAACATTTTTAATTCAATAACATTTTATTATGTTGAACAACGCCGCCAATATAATGCAGCATGAACGGTATTAATAAGAAGAAGAAATTGTGCATTAATGCACATAAATATGAAATTAATGTAAATGTGCAATAAGAAAAAAAATATAAGATACTTTAATGTAAAGCAGGCAGAATCTATCAAGGAAAAGAAAAGAAGGCAAGCCTTTCATTTGAATCTTTCGTTGCACACGAGAGAAGTGCACAGTTATTTGAGTGAGATTTTTTAAGCACTTAACTGAGAATGAGGAGCTAGATGATCAATAGTCAGTTTGTCTCTATTAAGTCTGAAAGTTCTGATTTTGAGGCATTTTATGGAATTCATTTAATTTTGAAGACTGAGAAAGAAAGATTTATGGATAACTTTAGTAAAGTCAAGATAATTCACGATCCAAACGGTCAGGTCATCAGGTCACAGATTAGATAGACTGCCCATATGACTGGTTGAGATATCACAATTATAAGTCCTTGACAATGATCCGACTTAGATCATCAGGCGCAGAAAGTAAAGACAGAAAGGTTTCAACTGTCTTTTTCGACTTACATATGACATTAAACCATAAAGTCGGATAACCTCCGATAGCTCAGTGGTAGGGACATGCGATCGAAATCGTTGGACGTGGGTTCGAGTCCCGTTCGTGATCTATTATTCGAACTTATTCTATTTTCTGTTTATGTGGAATTGCTCTGTTAATATTCAGACACAAACACAAACCAAGTTGGATGACAAGAATCTGATCAAAGATTCAAATCTGACCACAATCTATCCTTGGCCCGAATGGCGCAAGTCGGGTAATCGAATTGAAATCTTTCGCCCAACCAGCATGACTCTGGCATGATGCTAGCTTTGATTTAAATCCAGCACCATACTAGAATCACACCTCGAATTAAACCTTGGATTTTTTATGTAGATCTGAATAATCTAATGATGCAGCTAGTCTTCAAAGTAACAGAATCATAGTAAGAAACTTCTAGAGATGAAAGGGTGATAAGACATTAAGGTACGGATTTTAGTTTAAAAAGAACCTTGCCCTAGCTAGAATCTTACAAGCCTGCGACGCTCTAGAAGATAATAACATCCGATCGTCATTACTATCACATCCATTGGAAGTACTATCGAGTAAAGAGCACAAATGCAATTCAAAACTCACTTTACTTTACATTGTCGCTCTGCAGCTCCAATGTTGCATGTATTTGTGTTATGATTAACATTTGTATTGAGTATTTCTGTTATGTTATGCTGCGATATGGTAGAAGAAAAAAAAAGTGTGGAAAAAAAGCAATTCCTCCACAAAACTTTTATTTTTCATTTCTCTCTCTGCATTGAAACAGCAAAGAAAAGAAGAAGTGAAGAAAAAAAAGTTTTATTACTCGGCTTTCGTACAAAACAGTTGCTTTTCAGACTTCTTTGCGATCTTACGGCTTTGCGCGGTCGGTTTTATTGCCTTTATTTAATATTTTTTTGTACGTTATTGAGGTAAAAAAATAAGTTTTGTGGAGTTTTGAAATTTTTGGATGCAATTTTTTTGCAGTCTTGAAATTCAAGTTAAAAGTTTGTTAAAGTGAAAATCCAAAAGAAAGAAACAACTTTTTATCGGAAGCTTGAAAGGAAAAATTAGACTTGATACAAAAAAAAGGTGAAAAAGAAAATCATTTTTTAAAAAAATCATCAAATGAAACAAAAGAGAAGCAAAAGCAAAAAAAAATACAAAAAAAAGAAGAAAAAAAATTAAGAAGCTTGAAAAATATTAAGTGATTAAAATGAAGAAAGTAAAATTTAATTCAGTGGATTAATTTTCGTCAGTTAATGTAAACATTTGCCTTGCGGATATAAATCTGTTAATGCTGTAAAATTTAAGCCTCTAAAAAGGGATATTAGTGATCGAAATCTGTAGAAAATTAATGATCGTTTATCGATATATTGGCTTAAAGTTAAGCCTCAAACAAATGGATTAAGGGATAGAGTTTGTGTAACGTGGGGGGTGAAATGAAGTTAAAGAAGCTATGTTGCTTAGTTGGATAAGGTGTAGTTCACAAAAGTTGGTGTTTATTTGGACTATTGAGTTTAAATCCTAACAACTGCCAAGTGATTTTCATCAGAAGTTTAGAAACTGCTAAGATACTGCGACTTCTTAAGTTTAATAGTGGAATTAAGTACTAGAATTGGAAATTAATTTTTAATGATTTGAAAATTTCATTTGCAATCCACAGTAATCGTGATATAGAATTCAAAACGATGCCTAATCATTATGACTTGATCGTTTCGATCAGTTGCACACTCTTGTTAATAATTTGACCAAAATCAGATTTCTCAAATACTGACATGTCACTTTAATATGTAAAAGATATTCAATATTCTGCATTTTATCTCCAATGAAGCATCTAACATAGAAACTTGCAGATAAGTCACTAATGAAACCTGTTAGACTCAGCCTGATTGCATGTCTAATAGGTCTCAAGATTAAACTGTGGTTAAATACTAAGATTTTAAGTCTGTGATATTATATGAACATTTTCTGACTGTTGACCTTAAACTAATTGAAAGTAAAGCAAGAGAATCTAGATACTTTGATTTTCAGAACTCTTCAATTTGGTTCACAAAGTCTTCATTCTATTGCTATTCAAGAATTGCTAATCAAGATTGTGATTTCAGATATTTCAAAAGTTTGAAAACCTTAAGTTTAAAACCTCGAAAGAAGTTCAACTTTAATTTCAATTGAATTTTTGAAATCTTGGACATTTCATGATAAACACAAAAAAAATGTTTTTTTATTTAAAAAATCAATTTAATTGATTTTTTGCTTTAAAAGTCAAAATTATCAAAATTTAAAGATCCAAAAACTGAAGATTAAACTTAATGCTGTTAAATATCAAGAACTTAATCAAATAGAAACTCAATTTATAGATTAGATCAGCACTATTATCTCACAAAAACATAATAAATCCAGTTATTTATCGTTTAACAAATAACAACAAAAACCTTTTCAGCTCTGGAAATCATAAAGATCTAATTAAAGATTTATGTCAGAACAATTTATTGCATCTTCACACTGCATTTTATTATAATAACTGCATAAAAACTCTGTTTTAAAGATAAGAATCATCTCTGAGCAATAAAGCATAAGTTTTGCAACTTAAAAACAAGATATTGTGCTTGCTACTGCAAAACTTAAATGTCAAATTTTATTACGAAAATTCGCTTTCACTGACTGACCATAATTATTGCTGAAGATTATAAAATTTCTTTTCGACTCAATGTGTATGGAGTTACGTAAGAGTAATGATATGAAGTAATGGAAGTGAATTATAGTGACTTTAAAGCAGGATGTTGATGCGATTTGCATGCAGTTTTGGATAAAATTGTGGATGATTAAGTTGGAGAATTTTTTTGTGAATTTAAAAAGAAGATAATGTGATGTAAAGTTTAAGTGAATCAATTAGGGAAGCTTTGTGATTTATATGAAGAATAATTAAATGTTTAAGTTAAATTTTGTTAAATTTTTGGAGTTTCATGAGTGAAAAGTGATCACAAACTTACAATTTCTGGTATTTAAGTACAGTTCATATTATTTGTGTCAAAATGATTGAAATTTAAATTAAATTGTAATACAGCAACTGATATAAAGCAACTTACCTATCACAACAGATCTTCAAGTCCCAAAACTCTTGCAAAACCTTCAGTTCGGTGATTGTCCTAGAAAAAAAAATCAAATGAATTTAAAATATCAAAATCAATTCAATTTGAACCCACAATTTTCCTTCCTAAATCAACCACAATCTAATCTGATTTCAGTGAATCACAATAATAAGATGTGAATAAGTTAAAATGACAGCTACTTCTCATAAACTTTCTCATTATTGTCGCAATCAGATCATGCAAATCTATTCAATTAATTCCGTTAGACAAAAATTAAAATTGCGGTGAATTATTAATCCATTTGCTAAATACTTCATTTTCTGTCTCATTTATGAAATATTTAAAAACAGTTTAAAGACAAATTAAGCCATCATGAATTGAATTACAGCAATTTATAAATGTTCACGATTCTAACGCTAAATGTGTGTAAAATTATCAAATTATCACAAATTACCAAAAAAAATCTTCACTACATTTCAAACGTGTATTTCCGACCTATGACAACAGGAAATCGAGAGTGTGTGACTTCTTGGAAGAGACAATAGAGGTGGGATAGAGTCGATGGAGTTTCTAATGGAATTTTACATTGAGTTTCATTTTCAATTGTGTTTAATAAGATATATTGTGTTAAGACCTTTTGAGGTGCTTTATGACACTTGTAAGGAATTTTGTGATGTAAATTTGAGTTTTTAGAATTTAAATTAAAGTTTGACATTTTTTTTAGAGATTTTAAAATCAAGTTTTGAGTTCGAAATCAAATCTTCAAATATTTTAAAAATTATTCTGATAGGTTTTGAAATGTTTTTAATTTTTTTGACAATTTCTCGATTTTACCAAAATTACTTAAAGTTAAAGAAGCAAAAGAAAAAAATTTAAATTTTTAAAACAATTAAAATTATTTTTAAAATTATTTCATTATGTTTCGATTCAAAAATTGGGTAAAAACTCCTTTCAAAGTCATGAATTTTCCCATCGTTTTCTTCAAGGACATTCAATATTTTGGTTCATTTAATCTTTAAACATAATCTAGGAAAAACCCAAACCAAAACCTTCAAATCTCCCAACATCATAACATTAACAATTTATCGCTTAAAAATCCAATCATACAAGAAATTATGAAACTTTTCACACCTTCCCTTTCCAAACCTTTAACGTTGTTCTTCATTTCTGAACCTTCAACTGATTATCTCACATTAATTAGTGAAAAATACCACATAAAATCTTTCTAACTTACATTTCATCCACACAATTGGAATGAAAGTTAAAAAAGAACATTTTATTCATCATGTTCAACAAGTTATTGAAAAGAAATTTTTAAAATTCCAATTTTTTTAAGACTTAATTGTAAATTACAATTTGTGAGAACTTTTTGTATGTTCAATGCGAAGCTAAAGATTGAAAGACGTTGCGAGCATGTACTAAGTAGTGAAACAAGTAATGATCGAGAAAGTTATATTTGTAACCAAATTAACAAGCATAACTCCCACGAGTTGAGCGAAAAATGGCAAGAGAGAAAAAAATAATAAAATTTCACCCGCAAATCTCGTCTCGTAATTTGTATACAATCGGTTTTAAAAGACTTTCTGTGAATATCTCGACACTAAAAGTCTTAATTTATCCCACAAACATTTTTTTTTATCGTTGTCGGAGAAGCAGTTTGCAATGACATGCCCTAAAGTTACATTCCGGCTACATTGTTTCATTAATCTGTCATAATGTCACTTTTTGATCCACCAGAAAGCTCATTTTCTTTTCAATTTTTTACTTTTTTGTTGTTATTAAATTCGTTATGCTACTTTCATGTGTCTTTTCAGACTCTCAGTTTCCCTTTTTTTTTGTTAGATTTTGATTTAACTATGGCTTATTATGATGTTCTGATTGATGTGGGATTGTTTTAGATGTAATCATGTTTGTTTTGGTATGTTTGGTATTATCTTAAGTGTTCCAAGAGGAGAAGCAAGATTGCTGTTTATTGTTGAGGATTAGGGCTGAAATCCTTGCCATTGATCTCAATGCTGCTCTTTATTTACAAACTTAATATGATTCATTCCTTCTGAAGTGGTGTATTAGCTATGAATAATGCAGGAATCCAGTTTCAACTAGTTTGTAGAACTTAATGAGATTCCTTACCACAGTGTCTGCCGCTTTATGATATTATAAGCCAGGAACTTACAACTCACTTCATTCATAACTTCAATAAATCTTCCAAAAAAAATATTCATCAACAAAATCACCTCAAAACCCAATTTACAAAACTTCAGAAACATTTCTATGCATCTTACTAGAAAAATCCAATAAAGCATGATCTCGAAAAAAAGAATTCATCATTCAATACAAATGCGGTAAACCCAACATTTCTTTCCATTTCACTTTGCATGCAATGAATCAGAAAACGAAATGTAATTTTTTTTCTGTGGTTCGAACAGTTAAAGCACAATCGATTGAGTTTCTTTACTTGCGGTTACGCGACCTTGTATTCATTTCCCATTACTTTAAAATCAAAACAGAAACATCAAATTCGGGTGTAAAGGAAAGCGTCGAAATTTTTCCCAACACCAATTTTCATAGCTTGTAGAAAGTGTGTCGTTTTGTTTCTATAATTGTACGTTTTGTAAGCGTCATCGTCGATATTTCAATATTTAAATATTCTCATTATGACTCTCTCAATTGTCTTTGTTGTGACTTTTTTTTTCGGAAGCTAATTTAGTCATTGACTTGTTTTTTTGACTGTGCGAATCTTTCACTAAATGCTGGCATTTAAAATTCAGAAAAGTTTTCATTTCGCAAGATTATTTTTGTGGGGAATTTGAATTTTAAGATGAAAGATCCTGCTTAGTAGAAATTATAAATTTTAATTTGTGGCTTAAATGTTAAAAATGACGTGATAGTGAATTTAGTGAATTGTCAATCTAGCTCTTACGCTGAACTAATTTCAAGTCCATAGAGTTGTCAATTACTAAATAATAATAATAAAATCGAATAGCACAAATCGGTTAATCA